CCCCAAAACCCCAAAACCCCAAAACCCCAAAACCCCAAAACCCCTAAAAATATTATCTTGGTTGAAATAATACTTAATATTTTTATAATGGGGAATTGACTTGACAAAAGTGATACTATCACCCTTGCAGCACGTAGAAAGAGGAAAAGTAATAACACCAGCATGAGTATTGACAACCCAAAGATCTCACTGAGAAATTTCCGTAAGAAGGCCAAAATTGGTAGTGGTACTACCTCTACTGTGTACTTGGTAGAAAAAGAAGACACCGGTAAAAACTATGCAATGAAAGTGATGCGACGGAGTATGAAGTACAAGAAAGATACACATGATATCAAGAGTGAGAGAGTAATATTAGGAAAAATGAGATATCCCTTCGTTGTTAGCCTCCACTATGCCTTCCAACAGGATTACATCTTATATCTGATCCTTGAACTTGCTAATGGAGGCGATCTCTTTAATCATATTCAAAAGACCAAAGGACTCCCAGAAGATCACTGTAAATTCTATGCGGCTGAAATTTTGTGAGGGCTTGATTTTCTACATAAAAATGGAATTGTTTATCGGAATTTAAAACCTGAAGATGTACTATTAGATAAGGATGGGCATATAAAGCTCTCCGATTTTGGCTTGGCCAGGTCTCTTGAAGAAATTACCACTACTTTTTGTGGAGATCCCTACTATATGGCACCAGAAATAATAACAGGAGATAAACAAACATATGCAATTGATCTCTGGAGCTATGGAATATTGCTTTATGAAATGATAGCTGGTGAAGCTCCCTTCAAGGGAGATTCTCCTAAAGGAATTCTGAAATCTGTCCTAACTAGCACCATTTCGATGCCAGACAAATTTAGTGAAGATGCTCGTGATCTGATCTGTCGGTTGCTATCACCAAACCCAAAAGATAGAATTGGGAGTAAGGACATAGACGAAATCAAAACCCATGATTTTTTCAAGTGAATAGATTGGGATAGGATAGAAGATATGAAGTACCCAGTTCCTCACATCCCAAGTGTTGTTTCAGACTCTGATGTATGAAACCTCGACATGCTGGATCACCATGGTACTGTGGTAGACAAGACATTCAACCAATCAAAATGAAATATAACAGATGCTAATATTAGCAACTTCTATTTTAACGTTCATGATTGTTTCGATCATTAACTCTACTTCTCCTCTATCCACTTCTTCACGCATAAATTTCTCTTCAAATTCAAAAGCCCTGACCAAAACCCCTATTTTCCCTGTCAGATTCTTGCTGAGCCAATCTTTGGTCTGAAAGAATTAGAGAAAGAGGGGAACGGACTTTTGCCTTGGTTGGGTGAGAATTAGGAATTTAGGGGCTGGTTGGATTGAACTTGGTTGATTCTGATGGATTTCAATTGGTGGTTGAGGGAGAGGGGTTTTGGGGTTTTGGGGTTTTGGGGTTTTGGGG